TGTCCACAGGCTAACTAACAGTTCTTGTGAGATCGCAGCACTCCGGCCTCTTTGCCTGAGCTCACCCTGAAGTGAAATCCTTAACAGGGGATCTGTTTCTTAGAAGAAAACACCGTGAGTACAATAGGATTAAACGCCTGCTCAGTGTCTCTGTGAACAGCGCCTTAATCTCTGGATCTTTAAATTTCACCAGCTCTGGAGCATCCTGCAAATTATACCTGCCACGATTTCATCTATAGGATTCCGCGTCTCGCGAACAACAGGCCATAACTTGAGAAACCTTTCTGTGAAATACGTTCCCCACAAGGCAAGTGCATAAAATGCTCTGCCCTTGCTTGTCACTGGGATTATTTTAATTACCTTTAAGCATCTTGTCAATTGGGCCCTGATCTGCTTCACCACATTTCAATGGTGCATCCCTTCTGAAGCACAGAGACGTGCTTTATTTCCAGGTTTACGAAGATCTGGAGAATCTTTGCTAGTCTTTTAAACAAAAAGTGTGCTAAAGTTTGTTTTTTCTGTGATTTGCCCTGATTTATTCCCTTTGGCTTTTTTTCTTCCCAGAACTTGGATTTTACTTGGCGAGGACGAGCCTAAGAAGAGAGAATCAATATAAGAGAGAAGAGAGTACGGTATCGCTGCGCAATTACCACGCCATGGTCACATGCTTCGGTAGGTCACCTGATCTGTCTGCCTTTGCAACCCCTTTACACCTCAGACGTGTGTGGAAAATTATGCTAGAAAACTTGTGCAAGATGGTCGCCAAACATTCATAAATAAAGAAGCTTCAAAGGGAGGATCTAGTGAAATTCCCTGAACTGAACTTTATCCAGAAGTTCAGTTCTATCAATTATGGCCTCAATTAAGACAAAAGTTTCTTATCTCCTGGGGTTAATTAATTACATTGCCAATATCACGGTGCTTGCATTAACATCAAAATTGCTCCTTGAATGGCCACAAAGCTAATTTTACATAAATCTAAGTCTTCCTGTCATTGTCAGAAGCTCTGCTTTCGAAAGTCCTCATCTTCCAAGCTCACTGCTTACCATATACGCACAATCCCCATAAATTTGGAGTTTTTCCAAGTATCCACTGAAGTGAACTATAGTCCACTTGTGGTATAATGCATTTATTGGTGTTTGAGGATGCTTGGCTGTTCTATTGGGTCCAAGGGTCAAACTACAAATTACAGATTTGGAGCTGAAGTCTGAGCTGTAGCCAAGTCTGAGTGCCTATAAAATCCAAGCTTCCCCCCACCCCCAGAAAGAAAGGGAAGGGTAAGTGGGTTCCGAGTCGCACGTCGAATCTTTGGGGGAGAAAACCCGAGTCACTGGTTCAACTGAAGTCCAACTTGACAGCGAATCCCGGAACTCAAATCCTCATGCAATGTTGTTAGGGTGGCTTCTGAGTCGCAGCGGGTGTCGAGCTGCGGCGGAATGTTCCTGGAGTCGTTGGCAAGTGTGATGGCGTTTCTGATAGCTTTTGTGATTCTTGACCACGTGTTGTCGCAGTGAAACTGGCAGGACTGGAATCTGAAGGTCTGGGGATGCTGAAAGGATGTACAAAGGGAGCTTGTGTTGAGAATCGCACCAAGAAACCCCAAAGAAAGCCCCAGCAGTGACATATTCAGTGTCCGAACTTCGCCAGGTGACCCACAAGTGGCCTTTTTGCGGCCTCTCTCGTCGGTCGCCTTGTGAGAAAAAGAGGGGTACAAATATAAATAATGCAATGGAAATAATCACATGGTTTCCCTTTAAGTTGGCATCATTCTGTGTGCTCGCTTCACTTCCAGCATCACAATGGTCTCACCCGCCAGTTGGCAAGAGACGGAAGTTCTTGAGCCAGGAAATCTTCATTCCCAAGGAGGAACCCTCTGTGCAAGTTTCGTTGTGTCCCCAAACCTTTTCTCGCTGCAGGCCAAGCTGCAAGGCAAACATCTTCAGAGAAGGAGGAAAGGGTCGAGTGTGAGAATTCGAGGGGTTCCAGCAGGGTCCCACCTTCCAAGAATGTCAGTGAGTGCAAGGGGCACAGAGAGAGCAAGACTAGATTGCTCTTCGTCCAATTGTGTGTGACACGTTTCTCACTATTGTTGTTGTTGAGTTGTTTAGTCGTGTCCGACTCTTTGTGACCCCATGGGACAGAGCACGCCAGGCCCTCCTGTCTTCCACTGCCTCTCAGAGTTGGGTCAAATTCATGTTGGTCTCTTTGATGACCCTGTCCAGCCATCTCGTCCACTGTCGTCCCCTTCTCCTCTTGCCTTCACACTTTCCCAACATCAGGGGCTTTTCCAGGGAGTCTTCTCTTCTTATGAGATGGCCAAAGTATTGGAGCCTCAGCTTCAGGATCTGTCCTTCCAGGGAGCACTCAGGGTTGATTTCCTTCAGAATGGATAGGTTTGTTCTCCTTGCAGTCCAGGGGACTCTCAAGGGTCTCCTCCAGCACCTCTGTACCTTTCAGTATTTATTCAGACTTCTATAGCTAGCTGGATGGTTCAGGGGTTTAGGTGTCTGGCTGTGAGGAGTTAAGAGTTCGATTCCCCACGTATGCCTCCTGGGAGAAGAGCCAACCAGGGTGGCCTTGGGCCAGCTGCACAATGGTCGCAGGGCTGCCCCCAGAAGAAGGGAGTTGAATGTCAGTGAAAGGGTTGTGTAAGCGTGGCACGGAAGGATGAAAAAGAAGAGGAGTTGTGTGATTTATGCACACTTGAAACGCGCCTTCTGTGGTCCAGAGACGTTTGCATCACCTTGAGACAAAGTTCTCTGTTGTCACACCCATGGCTATTATTTGCACAAAGCAACATTTCGGTTCTCCAACGCCTCCAGCCTTTCAGATGTGTTGCACTCAAAGGTCTCCCTAAGGTGCCCTTCTCATACCCACAGCGATCATGTCTGACCCCTTTCGTTCTGGTCACAAATAAACCCCGTGCCGGGGGGAGGGAGGGAGTCATGCACATGGGATGTGGGTGGAGACACGAGAGGGGGGCTGAAAATTAGAGGGGAACGTTGGTGGCACTACATCTCCCATCATTCTCATTCAATGTTATTGGGGCAGATAGGCATTGTAGTCCAAGGTGGCTGGAGGCATGCTCAGTCGGGGAAGGCAGTTCCCCTCCTAAGATGCTGTGGGTTTGTCCATTGTGTCCGTTGTCACTTCCCCGTTATTGTGATCTGGTTGCGTGGGGCGTCCGGCGGTCACTTTCTGGTAGGTGAAGAAGCTACAAGAATGGACGGAAAATCTCAAAGTGCCTCACGTTTGATCAGCCTTTGGTGGGAGGAAATCAACATAAATGAGATGAAGGCAAGACTGTCTTCGGCCATCTTTTTTTGCTCTCTGTGTTTTGTCCCAAATGCCTAACGACGGCAAAAACTAGCCCGGCTCCAAGATCAGCCCTCTTTACTATGCCAAAAGAAGCAGACATTTCAGGTAGCAAATCCTGCAGGGCCAGGAACAACCAGAAGGGTGGATGCCCAGCAGTTCGCTTTGGGCCTGTAAGGTCCACCTGTTGCCCACCTCACCAGAATAAGTCCAGTTTCTGGTCTGGTTGGCTTCTGTGTCTGGAACGGGACCTTGTCTTGGACTCTGCCTCAGGCAGCCAAACTCCTTGGGCTCAGTCTGGATCTTAAGATCTGGTCTGTCATATGCAGCATAAGCAATGTATGCTTGTCCTGTCCTGTCAGTGGTGTGAAATGGGCTCCTGAGCTGGTGGGTGAATTATTCTTCACCTCTGGGTGACAGGTTCCCACCTGCCGAAACGCCCTCCCCTTCTCAACAGACTTGAAAAGACCCTGGTGGGGAACCCTTTTGGGGTCTGGAGCCAAATTCCAATATTTAGGAAGAGGCTCAAATGTTGCATGGTGCCAAAGCAGAAGCAAGAAGAGCCAGATATAAATCACATGAATTTACCCCAGCGCATTTAGCTTCGCGATTGCAAAATCATCTCAAGTGGACAAACCAGAGTTTCCCTCCCATGCCAAACTTGCTAAAGGTGCGAGCACTAGATTGCATTTCACAAGAGAACCTTCCGAAGCCTGAGACATTTTTTTTGGAGAGACAACCACACTTGCCTGTTTCAGCAACTGCTGGAACAAAACCAAACCCAGAAGCCGCTGTGTGACCTCTGAAAACGACGAATGTCGTTCTGCGTGAGCTTTTCTGGATTACGCTCTTCAGGCGCAGAAGAAGCAGATCTTGTCTGTGACCTGTGAAATCTTAGGTGAAAATAAATATGCAAGTCCTAAACATGCTTCTGTTTTTTGCTGCAGCTTCGGATGCACTCTTATCTCCGATCGCTGATCGGAGATAAGAATTTTTTTAAAAAATGATGGGGAACTCCATGGTGCCAATTCGGCCTGCAGGCTGGGAGTCCTGCTGAAAGGAGTAAGAAACCACCACCTCGCAGCCAGCTTGTGGACACAAGTGTGTGTGTGTGAGAGAGAGAGAGAGAAAGAGAAAGAGAGGCTTCTCCTTGGTTTCATTGAACCCGCCTGGCAGTGGTCCATGAGGTGCCTTGGCCCAGTTCTGCATTTCAGATGGCCACCTTCCCTTCAACAGCTCCCAAGCGGCAAAAGATGATGCATCAGCTTCACTCTTTTCCCTCTCCTCCCCTCCTTCACCAACCCTGGACTAGATCCATGTCTCTTACAACCGGGTGGCAGGCCAGGAGAGGAGCAGCCGATTCATCGTTGCCGGCCACCCCTGGTCAAGTTCTGGCGAGGCCACCAGTGCTGCGGCAGGACTTTGGGAAAGAAGCCCACGCTTCCTCTTTACTGCCCATTTAGCCCCGGTGTCAGTTGATTCTGATTTATTCCCTCCGAGGAATCCTCCAGCATTGGGCAGCGACGGCCCCCGGTTTCCCGGAGAGCCATTGAATACTGCTGACCCAGAAACCGAAGGAGCCGGAGGGCGAAGTAAATAGCGGCACTACGAGGGGACTGATATCCAGGCTGTCAGCAGGGTGGCTTGGGGCGGCCGATGTCTCTGGACCCACTGCAGCCCTTCCTCTCCCATGTTGCCCCGAATGAACTCGAGAGGCTCCCACTGCTGCCAGCTCTCTGACCCATCCTCAGCAGCTAGTTTGACTGGCAGCTGCCAGGCCAGCCCTCCTCTCTGCAGCACGGCTCCAAAATAAAACCTCTGCAGCCGGCCGCCGGCCACCTTCGGGCTCAGCTCGCCTCAGGGAGAACCCACCGGGCCACACGTTCCTTTCAACGCCACAGGATCGGGGGCGCTTTCCATGAAAGGAGAAGTTCTCATTTCTTGATGTCCTTCTCAACTTTGGACTCTCAGAAAGAGAGAGAGAACATCACAGGGGGGCTTTTCCACTCCACCCCAAACGACCCTCTAGTCACTGGGCTGAGTCCCCCCTCCTGCCCCTCAAATTCTGCCAACTGCTTCTCAAGGTCAGTGAGAGAGAACTGCATGCTGCCAGGAAGCGCATTTGCAGGGTGGGTGGGAGTGAGTAGAGAAATCACGCTAACTTTGCCCTAGTGCATGCTTTATTCGGCCGGCATGTTCTTCCTGCACCCACCCTGTCGGAGTGGAGCAAGCGGCTGGCATAAAAAGGGAGTTTTAAAAAGGACCTGCCTTGAGGTGGCATGAAGAAAGTGAATTTCTGGTTCGGGAAAGTGCCACGGCACCGCTGGTCTCCCTCCGGGGATGGCATCCTGCCTCCATGCAGAAGTCGGTCTCGCCGGCGCAACTCCGGCACATCACCGGCAAGAGGAAAAGATCCGAGGCAAGAGAAGGGAGATTGCATGAAACAGTGGCATAAAGCGACAGACCTATTCCCTGACAGGACTGTCGCTTTAATGCGCCTCCCGCATCAAAGAATATTGTCCCAGGGAAAGGTCTGCCAGCCTGCCTGCGCTATCACATTGCAGTGCAGGCTGCAGAGAGAGCAGTTGCTGATCTAAAATTGGAACGGCCGGACGGTTTGCAGTTCGTTGGCCTCCCCTTCTCTCTTCTCCCCTGCCTTGCACCAGCTCCGGTGGCAAATAATGCTATTTGTGTCTTTCACTCCATTCACTGTCTCCAGCCCTCATCATCCTCAATACAACTCTTAAAAGCATTCGGTACTGTAAAGGGAGGATGGAGCGAGGTTTCACTGAGTCACATTCACGCAGAACGTCCTGGTCTCTTCCAGGACGGAAAAAGGTTTCTTTTTTCATTGTCAGAGGCCCTGGGATTAATCACAGAGGCTAGGAAATATAACACTTTGTGTGGCTAATTGCTATCCTCGGCTTTTACTGAGAAACGAAGACTGAGGGGGGAGATGGGAGAGCACTTATCAAATACTTGAAAGGTAATCCTACAGAGGTGGGGCAGGATCTGTCCTCGATCATCCCAGCGTGCAGGACACGCAACGATGGGCTCAAGTGATCGGACGCCAGATTTAGGCTGAATATCAGAAAACACTTTTCATCTGTTAGAGTAGTACGACAACGGAACCATTGGCCTCGAGAGATGGTGAGGGTTCCAACACTGAAGACCTTCAAGAGAAAACCGGACCACCGTCTGTCTGATCTGCTTTGACTTGGATTCCTGCCTTGAGCAGGGAGGGGGTTGGACTCAATGGCTTTATAGGATCCCTTCCAAATTAATTATGCTATGATTCTACTGAACACCATTGGTCATGATCCACAATATGACTGCGAAAGTGTTACTGTAAAAACCAGAGTTTGCAAAAGATTTTGCTTTTTTTTCCTAATTCAGTTTCTCCAAGTCTCCCAACAAACACTGCCACGACTCTTCCAGAGACCCCCAAGGTGGCATCATTGCGTTGGCTGGAGGATTCTGGGAAATGGAGTCCAAACCATATAACCCTTCCCGTGGTTCATAAAAAGAAGCACACAGATTTGCCGAGGAGTTGAACATTCTCAACTAGTGGCTTCAATTGCAGTCTATCCTGAATTGCAACAGAGAATTCTGCCCTTCACCAACCTACAGATACCAGGATTTGAAAGGATGTAACTTATGGCAGTTTAAAATGGAATAATTTATGAGAGTGCAATGCAGATGCACTTTCCTTTTTAAAGAAACTCCTAGGGAAGCAGAGCTGACTGGATAGCTCATGGCTGCAGAGTCAGAGGTTCTGAGTTCAATTCCCCACTGTGTCTCCAGGGAGAAAAGCCAGCCTGTTGTCAGCTGTCATCAGAAGAAATTTGCAATTTAGCGGTATTCTACTAAAGCAAAGGAAAAGAAAAAGATTCAACTGATAAGATTTGCTTTAAAGATCCCCCCCACAAGGATAATATAAGGGGTTTCTTCAATCGTTTTGAAAGATTTGTGATCCCCTTCTTGTAAAGGTGATGATTTCTTAAGAGAGAATAGGGGTGGCTGTGGACAGAAATTCAAGTATATTCTGCATTTAAGTGACACAAAAGCAGGAAGAATACATGACCTATCCCGATAAGTGGCATCTTCAGCAGCTCTCTATCAACCTAAGGCTTGGAGGGAGATGCACCCTGTAAACTTTGTGGACATGTGTCTGGCAGGAAGATAACAGCCATGCTTACTTGGGGCCAGGTGATAGCAAAGAGACGGATAAGTGGCATCTTCAGCAGCTCTCTAGCAACCTAAGGCTTGGAGGGAGATGCAGCCTGTAAACTTTGTGGTCTGGCAGGAAGATAACAGCCATGTTTACTTGGGGCCAGGTGATAGCAAAGAGACAGTTTCTGATAAGAGAGAGGCATCCTGCCTAGACTGTTGTGTGTGAGAAAGATATTAGCCAAGAATGAACCACAATGGGAGCGCAGGGCTGGGCGTTTGTATGCTGCCTTGTGGGCAGAATGCTCATGATAGTTGGGAGTAAGACTGGGAACCATCTTCTTGTTCAGGCTGTTGAGATGTGAAATTGCTTATTTCGTACACACTAGGAAAAGAGGAAGGGAGCATCAGATAGGTCAGGATAGTAGTTAGGAACATGCTGAATAAGTCCATTCTGTATTAGTTTTTTTAACAGGCGGAAACCTAGCAGAGAAAGCTTTCCCTAGCATGAGAATGCAGTGGTGTTAAAAGGGTCGCCTCTTGTTATCTGTCTGTTATGCCTATTTTAATAAACGCGTGCCATGTCATTTTTGATTTATGGTGACCTTTTCCAGGGTTTTCCAGGTGGAGATTCCGAAATTGTTTGCCATTCCCTTTTTCCGGGAGTGTCCCGGGACAGTGCAGCTGGCACAAGGTTACACAGGCTGGCTCTAATCGCAGGAGACCCAGTGGGGAATCGAACTCCCAACCTCAGGCTCTGTAGCCAGAGCCTTAACACCACTGAGCTATCCAGCCAGCTCATGCATATGCACCAGACTCGGACTATGGAATTTTCAGATCTGTAGCCCAATGGACTTCTCTATGGTTGTGTGGACTATATCATTTGAACGATCCCCGTCCGCTTTAACTTATAGCCTAATAAAACACTAACCTATTTCCCCCCTTCTTCTTTCTCTCGCCCATAGCCCAACCGTTCCAGATCCCCACAGGGACAATTCCTGTGGAAGTGACCCTCCAACATGGGCGTGAAAGCAGCATTGCCTTCTTACGAGCTGGTGCTCTATGCACTGGTCGTGTCGTGTGCCATTGCTTACAGCGGGCAGGAAATCTTTGAAACGTCTCAAGGTAAGCGCTTCAACCCGATCCAAGGAGACGACAGCGGTGCTTTGAGGGAGCCGGGATGCCGACAAAGGGAAGGAGGTGGTTTTCACACTTCCACTTCCTAAAATGATCATTCGTGCAAATAGAGGTGGGCCCGAACTGCCAGTTCGTTGATCCGCTGAACAGGCGTTGGGTGCTTCAAAGCCCCGCCTCCTCCAGCAGGGGCCCACTCAGAAGCAGGTGCTCGAGGAGGCAGGGCCGGGAAGCCAGGCTGCTTCCTCTGAGTGGGCCTACTGCTGGAGGAGGCAGAGCTTTGAAGTGCCCAATGCCCATTCAGCGATCAACGAGCCAGCAGTGGGATCTAAGATGGGTGGCTATTCATGGAGAAACTAGTTCTGGATGAAAATACTGATTTCATGGATGCTGGTGGGTTCTGGCCCCAGCCCGCCAACTTAGAGTCTACATTAAACAGTGTTGTTGCTGTGGTTTTTGTGGTTGCCCTCTCCACCGATCTGTTTTTAGGTCTCTTCCCTCCCAAAGTGGGGTACGGAAGAAGGAAGGTAGCCACTTCTTGTTGTTATGTGCCACCAAGTCACGGTTTGTGAAATGTTTCCAGTTCGTGTCTATCTCTAGTTTCTCGCCCTCTGAGGCACCATCATAACAGCTGCAAAGGCAGAAGGAAAGGCAAACAGCCTGCAGGAAGATGGTAGGGAAATCTCTCTGCCAACATCAATGCAACATCGTTGCAGCAAAAACACTGGCACATGTTTAGCGAAATGTAGCAGGATTCACAAGCCAGAGCCCATGATCTTCTCTTTACCTGAAAATCTCCTCCGCAGTTTGGCCAGATTCGAGAGGGGGCCAGCGAGGAGTGAGATGTGGAGCTACTCAACGTGTTTCTGCTCCACTCTTGTTTCATCCCAAACTTTGGCCTAAATTCACCCCATCGAGTCTTCCGTGTCTTTTAGGGCCAGGTTGATAGCAGGAGATGATCCTTCTCTTTTGAGTTTTTCACCCCAAGCCTTTCTCATTTTTCCTTGAGTTCTGTATCCCTTGAATAACACTGCCGAGCAAGGGAGATAACAAGATGAATTTCCTGTAAGGTGAATTCGCAGTAAGAATTACTATATAGTTGCAAAGTTTTGATTGTTGGTAAAATTCCTTTTTTGCTATGCAGTAAAATAGCGGCAGAGTAGATCAGCTACAAGGTCCTTAAAGCCCACCCCTTGCTCATCCACTGGCATGCAAGATTAGGCATCCTTCAGTCTCGAGAGACTATTGTAACATGCTCTGAATGGAGGACCTGGAACAGCATCTAGTGTGGCTGAGAAGGCCAATTCGAGAGTGGCCATCCCTTCCACGCTGAAGACAAATACAGTCTGTCCCCTGTCCAGCTCCCTGGTTTTGCTGGTTTCGGGACTGCCTCTTGGCCTCGGCCTGCTGGACAAGTGTCTCTTCAAATTGGGAGAGGCCATGATGGACCACTTTCCTCCAGGTTGAACGCTCAGAGGTCAAGGTTTCCCATCTGTTTAGGTCCATTCCTAAGGCCTTCAGGTCCCGCTTGCAGATCTCCTTATATCGCAGCTGTGGTCTCCCTCTGGGGCAATTTCCCTGCACTTATTCTCCATGCAGGAGATCTTTTGGAATCCGATCATCAGCCATT